CCTTGAATGTATTTATTCCAAATACATCTTATATAGTTTGAGATTTTACGGTCGTTACAATTTTCGTTAAGATTAAATAATCTTCTATTTAAAAATTTTATTTTATCGCTTCTTTAATAATTTTATAAAAAGATTTATACAAATATTATACACCCATAATATTTGTCCACATAACAGATATATAATAAATAGGTATTTATATAACATGTGATGCATACGAAGAACATTTATCCTATTTGAGGATATTAATTATTTGATAAATGAATATTTATTATTATTGTCCCCTTAACGTTTAGCCGAAACTGACGGACGTTACACCGTATCTCCTTAAGTGTGGGCGGGACCCGTATCTCATAGTAGCATGATTATGTGTATGGTATGTGGTAGTTTGGGGAGACTCACTAAGTTTCGTGCTTACAGTTTTCATTTTTGGTTTCAGGTACTTCCAGTAGCAAGGGGAAGAGCTCGGGATGACTGTAGTGCACACACCATGATTCTAGTCTGGGATGTTTTTACTCTGATATGTTTTGACAGATGTTTATGATGTTTTGAGAAACAATAACTTGTGGTTTTGATGTGATGTTTGATGGCTATGGTCTTATTAATAATTAAAAAATGAAATTTTTTTGGACTATATTTTTGGGATGTTTCAGATGACCTTTAGGTCCATAGTCTTCCCCACTTCGTGAATTGGATCAGCATGAATTTGGGTCAAGTTAGGGTCCAAAACATAAGCGAGCTTCAGTACGTAAAGCATATACTTGACTTTGTCAACCCATCAGGTGTAGTTTTGACCATCGAACTGGTTAAGCTTGACAAACTCTTGGTTCATGAGTTGGAGACTAGCAGTTGGGATTTGGGTGTCCATTAGTCTGAAATTTATAAAGAAAAACCATTAAGATTGTTGAAATTCAGACTTGATATTTAAACAATTCAATAATTAGTATCTAATAACGAACCATTCAAGAATGCTAAAGAAACGAATGGATAGATAATATAAATGACTAAATATCCAAACCGTTTAACGTGAGCAAACGACTAACGATTAATATTGAGAATTAAACGTTGGGACGTTGCAAATAATAAATTCAGTTATTATTAATATTATTACCAAGTTTCATCCAAAACCAGAATGATCCTTATCGATCAGATCTGATTATAAGAAAGGAGTAGAAGCAGATTGTCATGTTGTTAGATGAAATTAAAGACGAACAATAATTAAAACCGATATGTTTGAAGTTAATCTTGATCGAAGAAAACTCCACGGATCGGACTCCTGTCCTTAAAGGTTTTTACTTCGCTTCTAGGGATGTAAGCAACAGAGTAAAACCTCGGGATTTAATGTCGATTTATTAGTTTTCCAACAACAATGGAAAACGATAAACGAAAAACGAATACTCAAAAACGAAAGAAGGATGCGACTTCTCGAGAGAGGAGAGAGAGCTGCGAATTTCAGTTGTTTAAACGGAACCTAAGAGGTCCTATTTATAGTGGATAAAAAACCCTAGAAGTTCCCTAAAAATCGGACCTGATGACTAAGCTGGTCCACTCACAGGTTGACTTATCGATATCTTCACTTATCCGAATTTAAACATGAAGTCTATCTGATCTTTCCAGAGGATTCTAGAAGGTTCTGTTACCTCATCGACGAAGTCAACGGTGGTCAACTCTTTGACCAGTCGGTCAAACTTGACCTGAACTCGTCAAAAATAAAAGCTCTTTAGCTCTCAATGATTGATGTCAAGTGCACCTAAATCGCGCCATTAGTTGGGCGCATGAATGGGCTTGACCCATCCTTTTGATCCACTAAAGCCTTTAAATGCCTATCAAGAGAAAAAAATTATAAGCTCACAAAAAATTTCTTCCCCCACCGATGTAGGATAAATGAAACTTGCCAACTTGCAATATCTCCCTTATAATTTCCAACACCAAAACATTCAAAGCAGTGAGAAAGGAGTGAGACTAGGGTGAAGACACACATAGTTTGATTATAGACTTAAAATATTAGTAGTGTGATTATGTCAATGTGAAATGAGTAAACACAAAAGGGAAATTGTTAAAAAAATCCCAATATTTTCGGGAAAGTTTCAATTTAGTCCAATTTTTATTTAACATAAAAGTCCCAATTATTTCATTTTGGCTCAAATTAACAAAATAGTCATTTTCTTCTTTTAACAAGATATGATATATTATTGTGTAAAATCAAATAACTGAGACTTTTCTGTTCAATTTTTTTTTGGGACTAAAGTGAAACTTTTCCGAAAATATTGAGACTTTTATGATAATTTCCCAACACAAAACTAGAAACATTGTACGGTTTTTAGAATTCAAACCTGACACTAGAAGTGATTATTGTTTTCTTATTTATTAAAAACTCATTTTTTTAATTAAAATTCACGGATTTCTTACGATTAATTATAATTTTTTAGTGACAATATATGTTTTCAATATTAGAATTACTATGCTAACCACAAGCTCCATGAATTTGACACTTCCTTACTACTGATAAATGGATTTAAGGTATTTTTTATTACACCAACGACTACGATCAATAGTTAAGATGACAAAGTGTTAGAAAAATAGAATATAGATAATCTTGGATCAGTGAGAGTTGTGAAACACTTTCAGATTAAAGCATTTCGAGAGTACACTCAAAATCTCTAATCGGATGAAACTCACTGTTTTTCTAGAATGGAGAATGAAGAAGATGTTATGAAATTTGTACCCAAAATGAACCCGAAATTGATCATATAACAGAAACTAACTTCCTATCCTAAAACTGCCATATGGTAGTTACATGAAAACAACTTCCTGTCCAAAAAACGGTCATAATACCTGTCAAAACTAACATAAAACCGGGTTTATAAATGGATCACAAAACCGGGTGTTTTACAAAAATACGGGATTTCTGTGACATTTTTTATATAGTAACATAACTCATATAAAACCGGATTTATAAATCGACCCCAGCCAGGGGCTCTGCCCCTTGGACCCTGCCAGGGGCTGCCGCCCCTTGGACCCCGCTCCCAGGGGCGCTGCCCCCGGACCCCCGTTAGTTCAGGGGCTTCGCCCCTAAATAGCAGTATACTTTCAACAATGACAAAATCAAACAAATGTGCACTCCGCACCATACTAATTTGTTAGATAATTGTCAAAGTGACATTGATCAACAAATTAACTCCATTACATTTAAATAATATTAGTGATATAAAATCACGAACACAAAGTTTAGGGGATGGGAATGGTAATAAGGTGGATGAGGCTATTGTTCAAGCTGGTAGCATCAGATTTATGGCTTAAAGTCGTTCAATGTTCTGATAACCATTATATAAAAAACTTCGTTTTCAGCATCATAAGATGTCTCACGACGAGGTAATTCTAAATCCACTTGAAATTTTGATAAAGATAAAATGTTTTTTTTCAATTAAAAGTCTATGTTTAAAATAAAGGGATACCCATAAACCAACTAATTATTCTTCAATACTAAAAATTACTTTATGTCTGATCTTGTATAAATTAACAAGTCGTGATTTTATGCAGGGCCGGTCCTGAGGATTCAAATGTCCTGGACGAGCCGGAAAAAAAAGGTCATTAGGCCTTAACGGGTAACGAATTAAATTACATAAACTATTTTTTTTAAAACAACCATAAATTTTCGTGGCTCTATTATGTATTTCATATTTTGCTCTTTCTTTGGACTTATATCCTTCCTGTCACTTTTTTATTGACATACAAAGTTGTACATAACTCAAATACTATTGTAATTTTTGAAAATGAAAGAAGTGGTCAAATAATACTGACAAGATGTTTTTCTTCTCAAAAAATATGGTGTTTTATACATATTATGTAGTGCAAATATTTATGTAGATTGCAATGATTATAATAAAACTATGTATATAATTATTTTGTTTTCTTATGTATATGATATTTACTGTTACTTTTTAAATGGTTAAATGTTTTTCTTAGATAATATATGTAAACAAATAAAGACAACCATGATGAATTGATCAACAATGATTGCTTCCCTAAAATCCTGCATCTTGGCTTTTTTTTTTCACATGTCGACATACACTTTAAGGATAGGACTATGTGGCATACTATATGCACTCTATAATATTTGCTTATAGATATGACTGTAATCAGTTATTTAGTTCAACAAAAATACCAAGTAAGTGTGATCAAGATTAACTAATAACTATAATATGATAAAGTGATTATGATAATCTATTTATTCATTCAAGTATAAAGACAAAATATTCAAATTCAACATTCAATTTTTTAGAAAATAAATATATTCAATTTCTGATAACATAAATTAATCAATTTTTGAATTCTAAATTCTGGAATAAAAAAGCAAACTAGTTACATGAATGTTGAATGAAATTGAATGCTTACCTGATTAGTAATCGATTAATAGAGTCACAGAGAGTAATTCTAATCTTCAATCGACCAGCTTTCAATGATCGGCAATCGACAGAAGACAATGACAATCGCTTCTTGCTTCTGCGTTGCGTTCTCATTTCTCACGCATCTTCTCAACTCGTCGACTTGCCCTACCGTTCATTCATTTGTTGGGCCTGATCTCAATATAATATTTAAGAAAAAAATGAGCCCTACAAAAATAAGCCTTCTGCTTATGCCCCTTTTGCCCATGCTCTTCACTGGACCTGAATTTGTATAATGATATTCTAATGAAAAGTTGAGATTAGCCTGTATATGAGATCATTGCTTTTGTTTTAATAGACAATTTGAATGAAAGCACTTTATTTTATCATGATTTTAGTGAAAAAAAATATATAACTTTTATTAAACATTAATTTAGACAAAATAAAAATATAAAATAATTTTATTGAACAAAAAGATAACATACTCATTTATTATTTAGCATTGTGAAATTATTCGTTGAGTTTTTTTCAGGAATTTCCATAAAATAAAATGCGAAATTCGAAATTCAAACTATTTTACGCATTTGACTATTTGAGTATTAATTTGCGTAAAATTCTTAAACATTCAACGATTGGGGGAAAATATGGATAAGTAGGTTCTCTATATATCTCCATGAGTGAGTATCACGCACAACAAAACCCTAATCATAATTCACCTTCTAAATTCTCTCCATTTTTGTTTGATCCAAGCTTTTCATAGTTCGATCATCACAACTAATCAAACAATTCCGACGCAGATGGATTGATGGATGCCTCTCGCAAAACCTATCCGATGGAAGAGCCTAATGTCGTTCGATACCCGATCATTCATCTCCATGATTACGAACCCAAATTCCTTACTCCCAAGGTAACCCTAACTCTCCTTACAATCCATCAATGTTTTCTTTTCTCTTTTCTCGAATTATATTATTCTCTGTTAATTCTAGATGAAAAATACCAAGTTTAGTTTTTTCCAATTAAATTCATTGATATTGTTTCGTGAAAAGTTAGCTTTGATGTTTATGTGTTGGAATTTAAGTATTATAGTGTACGCTCAACTCTAACAAATGCAACCATTCAATTAAACAACACCGAGATTTATATTCGAATGTAAATGCTTAGGTTTCTGAAGATGTAAATGATCACAACGAAATCAACGATATAGGAGAAAATTCTGACCTTTCTAAAGAAGAAAATTCGGTTCTTGAAGTGGAAAAAACAGATACTAATAAAGATCAGTTTTTCTATTACGACCCACCCTTAACCGAAGACACTGGAGTTTGGATTCCTGTTTCCATTCCACCAATGTCAGAATCACAAAGAGAAGAATGGAATCGAGGTCTGGGAATCAATCCAAACCAATTCGACAACAACATGGAATGGGATGATTTTGTCAACGAAGACAAGGAATTAACACTATGGGATGTCGTTCTTGATATGTTACTTGCAGCTCAAGGCAAAGTGAGATCAATCACTTCAGGCGATACATATGCTTATCAAATTTCATGGTTATCAGATCAACTTCTAGAACGTACATGGAAAGAAGTTTCTAATAATCTTACAGAAGTCAATGCTGATACAATTAAGGAGCTTCTAGAAGCCGAGCCACCAAAATGGCTGGCTGATAGTGCAGCTTCTTATTGTATGCTTTGTAACGTGAGATTCCACCCTATAATGTGCTCAAGGCATCATTGTAGATTCTGTGGGGGTGTGTTTTGTAACGAGTGTTCAAAAGGAAGGAGTTTATTGCCTGAAAAGTTTCGTAAAGGGGACCCACAAAGAGTTTGTGATGTGTGTTGTGTGAGGCTTCAGTGTGTGCAAGTGTACTTAATGGACCGAGTTAGCCGTGCAGTACAGGTGGCGACACGTGATTTGACGGATCTTAGTACTTTGAGATCTTGGCTTAATTTCCCCTGGGGGCAAAGTATGGAACAAGAAATTTATAAAGCTGCAAATACGATTCGAGGTTACTTTAAGGTAAAAGATATCTTCAATTACAAGGGCATTTACGTCTTTTCCACTAACCCAACCATACATTTTCTACCTTTTTTGGGTGAGACAAAAAAGCTGCAATTTTTTGTCCCATTAACATCAGTATCAGACTATCATTATTGTCATTACTATAAGTACAAGTACAACCTGTCATGTCATGTATAACAAATGGGGCCCACATGGATTTTGAAGAATTTTGGTTGACATTTATGAATATTTATAGGTTGGATCTTTGACACCTGAAAAATCAATACCGGATTCTATTTTAAAACAAGCGAAAGGGCTTGCGATTATTACGGTTGCAAAAGTTGGAATGATGGTGACTTACAATGTGGGTACGGGTTTAGTTATTGCCCGTAGAGAAGACGGATCTTGGTCTCCACCATCTGCTATTTCTTCATTTGGTATGGGTTGGGGAGCTCAGGTGAAATATATACACTACCATTTCTCTTCATATACTATTTATCTGCTTACTCTTGTCTCATTTTTACTTTTTAGTATCTGCTTTTTGCTTTATTTCCCACCAACCATTTCAACTTTATTGCTAGTATCTGTTTTTTTTTTGCTTTATTTCTCTCCACTCGTTTCAGCTTTATTGCTAGTATCTGCGTTTTTAGTGCTAGTATTTGCTTTTTGCTTTATTTCCCTCCACCCATTTCAACTTTATTGTTGGTATCTTTTTTTTTTTTTGTTTTATTTCTCTCCTCTCATTTCAATAGCTTTATTGCTAGTATCTGTGTTCTGCTTTAGTGCTAGTATTTACTTTTTTGCTTTATTTCCCTCCACGCATTTCAGTTTTATTGTTAGTATCTATTTTCTACTTTTTTCCCTCCACTATTTCTACTTGATGTTTTATTTCCCTCCATCTATTTCAAATTTATTGCTAGTATATACTTTCTGCGTTATTTCCCTCCACCTATTTCAAATTGATTGCTAGTATCTGCTTTTCGCTTATTTTCCCTCCACCTATTTCAAATTTTTTGCTAGTATCCGCATTCTGCTTTATTTCTCTCCATCCATTTCCATTTCAACTTTTTTGCTTAATCTGCTTTCTGCTTTATTTCCCTCCATCTATTTCAACTTTTTTGCTAGTATCTGCATTCTGCTTTATTTCCCTCCACCTATTTCAACTTTATTGCTAGTATCTGCTTTCTTTTTTACATCAAAAAAAAACTTTTGTATTAACTTCTTAGTTGATATTTTTTGACATGTTTTTGTGTGGTTTTATAAAAACAGGTTGGAGGGGAGTTTACTGATTTTATAATTGTGCTAAGGAATTGTGATGCGGTCAGGACATTTGGTGGAAACGCACATTTATCGGTTGGGGCAGGTGCAAGTGCAGCTGCTGGTGTTATTGGACGGGCAGCTGAAGCTGGTTTTCGGGCAGGTGATGGTGGATATGCTGCTTGCTATACTTACAGTTGTAGTAAAGGTAACATTATTTAGATATTTTTTACATTAGTTTTAAAACAAAGGGTCTGTTTGATATTTTTTTTTTATATATTTTCAGGTGCTTTTGTTGGGTGTTCATTTGAAGGAAGCATGGTGACAACACGTGTGCAAGAAAATTGCAAATTTTATGGAAACCCATCAATAAAATCATCCGATATTCTTCTTGGGACATTACCTCGACCTCCTGCGGCTGCGATCCTCTACAATGCGCTCTCGGAGTTGTATATGAAAGTAAATAAATAATTTTTATTTCTTTAAAAAAATTGGCATTCTTTGTTTTGTTCTTGACAAAGTCTTGCTTGTATAGCAAAAGAACCATTTGGGGGTATTAGATTCATTTGGATTATTTGTGAATGCATTTGAAACCGATTGATTTGTTTGTTTATATGCAAAACTATTGATTTATAAGATGGTGATTGTGTTTATTGTGTTGCCTTTGTATAAGTTCCACTAAAAATGGTAAATGAGAAGCAGTTTCAAAGAGTTAGATGTTACATTTTAAATTGGAAATAAGGGTCATAGTGGTAGTAGTGGAAATATCTTTAAAAAATGGACGACTTTCGTTGACCTAAATAATATATAGAGGGTCCAACCACAAATGACCAAATTAGACACTTTATGTTTTTCAAAAGGATAGTATAGAAGGTGACCACTCAAATTTGTATATTAGTATAAATGATTCACTTGAATCAATTGACTTTTACAAGGAAAAATGTCATTAAATAGTAATCAAGTTTGAGAATGGTTTATATGAATAGCTCAATAACTCAATTTTTTCTTTACAAGGTTTAACTACTCAAAAAAAAAATTTCGGTGTATCAAAAGGTAATTTGTAATGTGTTGTATATGAAACAAAATAAACAAGGGCTAATGTTATTAAGGGTAATGAAGTATTTGTTTTTATCACAAAACACAATTTATTTAAAAAGTGGTATCAAAAGGTAATCAACTTTGTGTTCACAAAGTACCATTATTTGGATGGTAGTTTGTAAACAAAAACAATTAGTTTGTTACCCATTTATGACTTTTAAAAAAAATAAAATAAAACAATGGTGTTTTACAAAGAAAAAAAAATAGTTTGTTACTCATTTGTAACATTAATAATAACCGAGTTTTAGTTTTGCTACCTTTCGTTTCCTATTGCATAAGTTCAACCTCTTCAACTTTTAGGACTCATACAAAGCATATTGAGGCTTCTGTGGAATTATTTACAAAAAGGCGAGAGAATGATTAAAGGGAGGTGTCATTATTTTGTTTTAATTGCAAATTACATGCCAAATTTGTAATCGATAAAGCTAACATATTTTTGACAATTTTAATTTGTTTTATTTATTTTAATTTTTAACATATTTTTGTCAATTTTAATTTTAATCTGTTTTATTTTATTTTAATTGCATATTTTTGTCTAAACCCAAAACATGCAATTATGAAAAATCCATAGTGCTATGGTCCACCTACCCCTTTTCGTTTCTTTTCTACTAAAGCCAACATACTTGTTACTTAGGATCCTTTACCACGAACCAGTAGTAATCATTTATCACACCAACATAAAAAAAATCAATCTACAACTTCATTCATTGCAAAATAACACTAATTGAATACAATCAAATACACATCTTTCATTCATACATATAACATACCTTAATTAAAAAAAAAGGATAAACCATAACCACACCATGTGAATCCCTTTGAGAACCTTTCATCGCCAGTGGAAAATTATACATCAACAGTATTTTAGGTTAGGACATGTCAGGTTTTGAACCCTAGACCTTCACCTCAACCACTAGGAGCTATAAACACACATTAATAGTGGCGATCTCTTCTCTAGGCCACATTTTATCTGCAAGATAGTATGTTTACTTTTTAGGGTTACTTTTTATGATGAGGTCAGAAGATTATTTTCGTCTTTTGCACAGACGAGACATCTATCCCATCTTGTTGTACCTTTTTGGTGGGATAATAATTACAGCTTTTGTCCTATTGACATAAGTCTGCATTTCAGTTTCTATTCTCAAATTTGTTCTGTCATGTCATGTAATAACGAACCTGGTCTTTGAACCGCCAAGAGTAAGCTCGAGATCATCCTGCCCGCACACCTCATGAATCCTTTCTCCTTCCCACGGTTTCACCCTTCCAAACGCAAACTCCTCCGAAACAACTTCCGCCATTGGAATATCCGCATTATTATCAAACCCTGGAGGAATCGCAGGGGAACAAGTCCCACTCTGCCCGGGGGTCCACATCCGGGACCCACCATGACCCAAACCCGTTTCCTTAAACCCAAACGGGTTTGCAGCCACAAGGCTAAACGTAGGTGATGCGGGTCCACTCAGTGGGACCCGGACGCCAGAGAACCATGAAAGGGTCGGTGCACCCCAAGGGGAGTTGGTTTTGATCCGAGGAGGGGATTGAGCGGTTGGTGAGCTCATGGGTGGGGTCACCGGTGCGCTTATGGAGCCGTTGTGGATGTAAGCATGGGGTAGCTTAGAGGACATGGATGAAGATGACGATGATGATGAGAGATTTTTGAGCCATGGTATGAGAGAATCTGGGTGAGGGTTGGTTGTTGGGCTTGCGATTGATGATGAAGGTGGGCTAGGGTTACATGAGGCGTAGGGGCTCGGTTGGTATGATGAGCCTGGGCTCGCAGATATTGAACCACCAATGTGGGTCCAATCCGCAGGCTTGCATCCCTGAATAGCACAAAACATTAAGTATAAAACAGGTACTTGTAGAAATAGTCAAATGTTTGAGTCTTAGTTGTTACGATGTGAAATTTATATTTTCATCTGACATTATGTCAGCCACCAAGTGGACCATATAAATATTTCGCATAATGTTTACGATGACAAATCGGGGTTGATGGAAGAATAACTGTTCTTTTTCTTCCATAAATAGTCAGAATATAAACACATAATGGTAGTTGCTAAAATGGAAAAATGAAATACAATGAATACATGGTTCATGGTTGGTTTGTTTTGGTAGGTAATATTTAGTTATTTACCCTAGAGGAAGAAATTATGGGATATTTGAAGGGTGTTACTGTCTTTTCGGGTCTAATTGGGGGAATCTTTTTGATATGTGTGTCCAACAAAAGAAAACAATGAATACGTATAAAAGTTGTTCAAAGTACTGGCCGGATCTAATGTACGCCGGAGTGGAACTAGACATAAAGCAATCAACGTATGAACTGAACTAACTCAAACCCTAACATCTTAATGCTAACATGCGCCATGGCACAGGAGATGTTACACTCTAATTTCATAACAGATGGAAGAAATGATGCATCTTTTTACCTGAAGAAGACAATGACTAGCTAAAATGCGCCAAACTAAACCACCGGCAATTTGGACCAATACTTACAGCTACGTTTATGTTCGTAATTTTGGAAAGAAATTCATCAGTAAGAACAGAAAGACATTCAAAATCGAACGAATTCGGCAACATTCTCGTGAACTAATTGAATCAGATTTGATTACAGAAAGTGTACCTTACGATATGTGGTGCCGTCGGACTCGACGGTCCAGCCAGCCTCGTCGGCGAGGGCTTTGAGGACCTCGTTGTTATCACAGTGCTTAGGCAGCTTGTAGTTGCCGTACATTCTCAGGCCGGCGAATATCTTCGCCGAGATCGCCCTCCTCCTCCTCTCTCTCCGCTTGTTGTTCTCCCTCTCCTTCCACGTCGGCATCCGCGTTCCCGACATTTCTCCCCCTCTAAACACACGAAACACCGGCGATGAGGTCTGTGCAAAATACACATAAATATGCAGGAAACACTTTCTCGATCGGAACAATTTGTGTAGGTAGCAGCGATTAGAGCGACATGTGTACTAACAAATTTATATATTGTATGCTCAAATTTGCAGAAAAAAAGCAACAATTGAATGAACTGGAGTTGTAATTAAGTAGCCGAATGAAAGGTAGACAAAGTTTGAGCAGCGAGTACAGGTAACTGCATTTATGAACAATTTCGCCGGAGAACCGGCTGATCTGCGGCGAAGCGAAGAGCGGATTGGTGAGAATTGAGAGGGAAAGGCCAGGGGCTATTAAATGTATGTGAACGGAAGTGTGTGTGGGCCCGGCATGTAGTGTGGGCCATTAGAACACTGACGACTTGTAAGTTGTAATTGTCAAACGGTTCTGTTTATTTACGGAATTTGCCACTGGCTTCTTGTTAAAGAATATAAATGGAATGACATTGTTACCCTTATGGTAAGTTTTTTATAAAAGGAGGTGATAATTTCATTCATTGTTTTTTTGTTTGCTCATTTACAAATAGTAAATCTTAGAAAAGCATAACATATTTTTATAAAATATTCAAAAATTATTATATTACTTTTTAGTATGTTTAAACTCCTAAATATTTCTGAAATTGTCTAATTTAAGTTTTAAATACTAAGTATTTAGCTTTTAAATGTTGGTTGCTGCAATTTTTAGATTATAAAATTTCAAAAAAAGTATAAAACTTTTAAAGCATTAAATTAAACAATATAGTAGTTTTTTTTAATGATCGGATGCAATACGTTAGATTTTTATGAGAAACAAAAAGCTAAAATTAGACTTTTAAAAATATAAAAATTTTAATACATTAAAAAATAATATAGTATTTTTACCTTTTTGAATTTTTTTTATTGTTAATTGAAAAGAAAAAAATTATAATGAAAAACATAAAACTCAAAACATAATCGTTTAAATAGATGAAAAAAAAACTCAATAAACATCCTTATATTTTGATTTCATAATTAATTCAGTCCTCATGTGTTTTTTTTATTAAATTAAGTCTCAAAAATCTACAGTTGTATTCATTTTGACAATTTCGTCCAATTAACATATCATCATACTTTCAAAATTTATATTTTTGGCCAATATTTTAAATTTTATTACAAATTTGGTAAAAAAATTTACACTTTTAACTTAGATTTTAAAATTTTCTTATGAATTTATCATAAATTTAGTTTTTTACATTTTTTTTTTCAAAATTATTTTTCGAATATGTTTATTTGCAGTATAAAATCACATTTATACAAAAATCATATTTTCATATAAAAACATTCTTTTTTCTATACAAAAATATTTTTTATAAAACATTTTTGTATGCAAAATACCTATATAATTTTTTTTAAAGATGTATGCAAAATAACTATTTTTAAAATTATTTTTTATTTTAATTATCTATTTATAAAAACGTAGTTATGTGAAAATACGTGAAATACACTTATATAAAATACGTTATTATACACATATATACCTTTAAAAAAAACTTTTACAAAATATGTATTTATTAAGTACATAAAAAAAACATTTGTGTGCATATAAATACATAAATATATACAAATTCGTTTTTATAAAAAAAATGTATACAAACATGTATTTTATATAAAAAGAAAACATATGCAAACACATATTTTATAATCAATGCATTTGTATACAAACACGTTATGTATATATTTATGTATAAAAACGTGTTTGTATGTTTACTATGAAATATGTGT